TCAGGTTTGCCTTTTTTCTGCGTGTTTTAAAGAGGCATTTCCCTTTATTGGCTTTTTTTTTTTTTTTTTTTTTTTTTCTGGGGTAGTTTCTAATTTTTATTAATTTTTTTGGATGAGTTTTTGTTTTTAATGTTATAGTAGTATTGGCTTGGCATAGAGTGCATTTTCACACTCAAATCTTCAGCAAACATACCATGCTCTTGGCTTTTCTTGAACTATGTGCACGTACTTGTATAATACTTTATACACACATTCAGGAGTGAGGCAGAGACACCTAGTTAGATGACACTTTGTATGAACTGCATCTCGTTTTTATTGAAAAGTTTATGAGTGACACTAGAAGGTCTATGCTTTAGCAGAATTCTTGGCTCCTTCCAACTGGGATTTCTTATGAAATAGGAATCAACAGAAAGGATCTTAAGTACTTCTGTTGAGCTGGATCTAAATAGCATGAGTTTATTTCCTGGCAGACACAATGCATATAGAATTTAAAATTATTTTTCGAGGATATGATTCTTTCATTGTGAAGGTGCTCAGTGCGGTGCAGGGGTGAGTCTTTGTGCGGACTAAAACATCTCCTGAGTGCCTTTCTCTTCGTTTTGTGAACTGGTAGAGAACAAGGAGAGGAGACTGCAGGGAAGAGATCAGGCTCCTCAGTGCACCAGTGAGGGGAAGGCTGCTGCTCTGAGTTTCAGATTTGATGCAGACAGTAACTAGCTGGTTAAATGATAATAGACTCAACTAAAGGAACACTCTGGAGAATACCTGGATGAACACTTTCCTTTGCACAAGTTGTCCTGACTTCTATATCTATGGGGCAGTGTGATGCAATTAAATATTTCTGAACCATACTAGAGCATGCATGATTATTGGGTGTTACCTTGTCCTCCTGTCTGAATAGGACCTGGGGACTGTGTTTCTTAATGTGACTCCCATAGGAAGAATCTGGGATTTTTTTTTTCCAGACTGAGTTTGCTTCAGGTTCAGCCCCTTTCCGGGTACCTGTGAAATCAGAACTTAATGTTGAACTTTATGTGGTCTGCTGGGCAACAGACCATCTGAAGGCCTGTTTCCCAGGCTTGGAGGCAAGGTGAACAGTTCTTCATCTCCTCAAATTGAACTTCTAATTAGCAGGGGTCATAAGTGATGTAATGGAGGTTTATAGATTCAGGTTAAGCCTATTCACTTTATTTGGGGCATATTGGGCCGAAAGGTCAGTATGAGACTACCAGCAGCTAATCATACATTTTTGGGCACTGACAGTGTTCCCAGTTCTGTATTCAGAAATGTAATGAGTCTCTGGTCATGAGGAGCTCTGTTCTTCAACATCCTGGTGCCTCTTAGCTGGAATAGCTGATATCTGTGGCTTTAAAAAAATCTGGCTGTGCATGTTCTTTCGCTTTTTCTCTACTAGGTAGAACAGGCAAGAAATCCAAACTGAGTAGCTTCCAACATTCACCAGGTCACCCAGCTCACTACTTATTGTTCCTACTTCCAGTTTGTTTGCCCTGTGAGGCTTTCAGAGTTTCTGAGATCTGGCTCCTGTCTCCATTCCCACTGCTCATTAATATACCACCAAGAGTTCTGTTCATTTCTTAGGATCACCTGTCCTGTACACTACTCTAGCCTCAGATTCTTAGTTCCCAGAGTTTCCTTTCCTCTTTTCCAAAAGTTATCTATTAAGGTTGTTTAAAAATTGTATTTTGTCTTGGAAGCCTCATATTTTCTAGGAAACCTAGCTGATGTTCTTGTTTATCTCAAGAGTTAGATATTGAATAATATTTTATGTCTTACAAGTCCTCAAACTCAGACAGGTTCTTGAGGCCAAGAATAGTGACTTGTACCTTGAACACTTCTCATTAACCTCTGTGTGGATGCATAAATAGCAGGTACTAGATAGTTATTTGGTGATTAACTGATAGCTTGTGAGAAGTTCTGGTAGCTATTAATAAAAGGAAAATTGGCAAGAGAAGAGATTGAAACTTTTAGCCAATAGGGTCATCCTTGGATATCAGCCTCATTATCTCAGCATGGGTAATTGACTCCATGGAATGCTTTGAGATAGGGGAAGACTTAGGGGAAGTGGCCTTGTTTTACACAGGCCAGAAAAGCCAAATGATTGGCCTAAGATCACATGTCTAACCTCCAGAGACTGGAGGGATCCTGAATTTGGTGCTTGTTCCACACTTAACTTGCTGAAGTTTAATTGGAGCTGTTTTTAAGCATTAAAAATTTTCAGCTAAGGGATTCCTAATGAACAGTTTTCTTTCTTTGCCATAAGGGTATGAAAATACCATCTACCTTGAAAGCTATTAATTAAAAAGCATGGGCTTTGGAGTAACAGAGACCTAGTAGTGAGTCTATTTCACAAATTAACCTTGAGAATGTCACATTTTTCAGAACTAATTTTTTTCTTCTTTATAAAGAGAATATTCACAATATCTATACTTCATAGAGTTGTGAAGATTAAATGAGACAATAGGTATAGTAAAGTTTTTCAGCACAGAAGAGTAAGTACTCAGTAGATAGTAGTTGCTGTTATTACTGGTGTCCATCTATTGCCATGTTGTACCCTGTGACTTGCTGCTATGATACTAACCAAGTGTGCTTTAGGCCTTCCTATATTTATCATCCAAAGCAGATAGTGTGGGACTACTCCCATGAGAAAATAAAAGAGTTTATTGGGCTATCATCTTGCTTCTTACTTAAACTATCTCCTTATAATATGATACCTCACAGGGGCTGGCATTTCCTTCATTAGGTTTCACTAAAATCTGCTTCCTTTTTTTATTTTAATTTTTTTAGAGAGGTTTTTGCCTTAGGACATGTGCGCTGCTGGAGAGAGAGAGGGACAGAGACAGTGAGTGGGAAAGTGAGAAATCACCTCCCTAGGGGAGATGGCCACTTTACAATCCCTTCTCCATTCTTCTCCCAAGATCTTGGGCATGCACGCATATGTGCTCTGCCTGAGTTTCAAGCCACGGGGTCTGGGACAAGAACTGTGGTCAGTCTTGTGTGAATCCAGCTATATAACCCCTATGCCATCTGCTGGCCCCTCAGTCTTCCTTTTTAAAGACATTCTGTGGCATCTTAGATGCCTTAGTGGTTTGAAACCATGAGATAAATACATCTTTGTTCAGGCCGGGTTCTTAGGAAGAATTTGCTTGTACTCGCCTTTGCTTTACCTTCCAAGTTTATCCGTTCTCTGTTGGATGTTAGTTAAGTCTTCCCTGGCTCGAGAATCACTATGGCTTGATGAATCAGTGGAAGGTGACTTTGGGAGAATCACTGTGGCTTGATCAGTCAAAGGAAGGTAACTTTTTCTTCTGTTCTGCAAAGGAAAAGGCCTAGCCTTAGCTACTACAGTGATAAGGTATGTGTGTGTATCTATCTATATAGAGCAGATAGACATAAAAAAATGCAGTTGCCATTGCTTGGGATTTTATTTCAGTTCTGAAAATTAGCCTGGTGGATGGATTAAAATAATTTTTCAACTTATACAATTAGTCAAATTTATAGAGACAGAAAATAAAATAGCTGCCAGCAGCTGGAGGGAGGGAGGGAGGAATGAAGAGTTATGATTGAACTGGATTTCAGTTTGGGAAAATGAAAAAGTTCTGGAGTTGGATGGTGATAACAGTTGTACAACAATGTTAATATATTTAGTGCTACCAAACTACATTAAACATGGTTAAAATGACAAATTTTGTGTTATATATATTTTACCATTCAAAAAAAAATATCCATAACCAAATTCTGGTGGATCTGCAAGAGTTGCCGAAAACTATTAGGTTGTTGAGAAGGTCCTGACATATTTTTCTAGGTTTTTGCATGCAAAAATGTATTACAGCTTTCCTGATAACCCAATGCAATTTTTGGATGAAGCACCATAAAAGGAGGAAGGCCGTTGTCCATTTTTCTTAAAATTATAGATATTTTATTCATCAGACACTTAGGGATGCCACTGTTTGACTGGAGTACCATGCACCCAGCATTATGCTGTGAATTTATGTGAAATTTCCTCAGAGAATGGTTCTTAATGGTTCACTCTCCCTAAGGAGATCTTGGATCTCAGGGAGCATCTGAGCCAAAAGAGTTTATCTGCCTACCCTTGATCCAGAATCAACCAGTAGGTAATATTTTCTGAGAAGACATGATTTAGAAAGCCAGTGGTCTCTAAATGTTGACTTTTGCTGTTCCAGTCAGAATGTCAGAATGATGGTAAGACCTAGGGGAGAGCATGATTTGAAGAACCTAGCTTTTTTTTTTTTTTTTTTTTTTTTTATATCTTCCCACTGGC